AGCCTCCCCAGCCTCCCTCAGCATCATCCCACACAGTCTCCCAGGTTGGTTGCTTGTCCCTGTAAAGCTGTGAGTCAGATCTCTCTGAGAAAGTTTCACTTTCTTTCTTTCTTTCCCACTGTCCCTGAACTGAGACCCACCTGGGGGTTTCATGCCACCTAGAGAGAGGAAGTGAAAGAGGTTGTATTTTCGACAAGGCTTAACTTTCCTTCTAGCAGCGAAAAGACAGAGAAATCTATGCCCCCAGAAACCGCGCCGCTTCCTGTGGTGCTGAGTCAGAGAGAAGAGAAGCCTGAACTAAGCACGCAGCGCACAGGACAAGCAAAGCATGTGACCCGCAGCATCCTTTCGAACCCGTGTAAGAGGGTCACGTTCTTGAGACCGATTTAATCAATAGATACAAAGACTTTGCAGAAACTTGCTTAAAAAAAAAAATCACATGATTGAGAAATAATGGAGACTGAAAGTAAACTCCGATGAGCTGAAGTCCTCAGTTTTTAACCAGTAAAATATTTCTGCCAATGCTTTTTTAAGTATTATTTCCAGGTCAGGGTTGAGGAGTTTTCGGCAGGTTCTTTGGGTACCTTACAGATGCACGCTCATCTCCCTCCCTCCCTGGGGAGGCAAGGTACAGCCACAGGGAACTCACCTGGGAGAAAAGGCTTCTGCGCCATAACAGCAGGTGGCCACTAACTGGCCCAGTTGACATGCTGAGGGAACTTATACGAAAAAGGCATCATCTTGGGCTACTGAATTGGCAGGTATGCTTTAGCATCCTAAGGTACCTCACTGAGTTCATGAAAATGTTTGATGCATTCGCTAAGTTAACGGGTTCTGGTCATACAGACCTGAAACCCCACTGAACTGGATCCAGAATCTCCTTACAATGCTATGCAAATACTTGAATTCCTAAAACCCTCAAAACTCTCGACAAGAGGTCTTTGACATGAGAGAGACACAGTGTGGGCCTTAGACACGCCGGTAAGTTAGTAGTAGACTCAAATCTAAGTAAATCTTTCCCAAACTCCTGATTCCCATCATTTGGATAACATCCTGGGATGAACTCTTTATTGTCCCAGACACCTTGTTAGATTCTGAGGAGGAGTCTATGGTAAAAGAACAAGCACAACCTTCAGCAGACTCCTAGTCCTTCAGAGGAAGCAGGCAAGTACACAACAAGAGACACGGAGCAGGGGGATAGTATGTGATCATCAGGATAGACACCTGAGTCCCCTGGCTTCCCTAAGCCACTCACCTCCACTTTCATGACAAATGGAATACAATACCAGCGCCCACACCGCCCCTGCCACCATAAGGCTTCATTTTCCTCCACCCACCCCCTTTGTCTTTTCTCCTTGGCATGAATCACTTCTGCTTCAATTCCTTTCATCTTTCTAGACTCCCCCGCCCACTGCCCACCCTAATGCACACATTCTCAACTCTTGAAACATCTACAACCCTTCCTGACCAGCAATGTCTAAACCTGACTGATAAAATCACCTAAGAAATATTAAAACCAAACGAAACAGAATGCCCTTGCCAACCCTACCTTGCCCTCAACTCCGTAGATGGTATCGGGGTATATTATCCCACCCTGCTCCGTGTAATGCTAACACAAAACAAGCATTAGGAGGAGACCCTGTCACACAGCTGTTCTGACACCTGATCCGAGCAGAGGTGTGGGGAGCGATACACACCTTGTAAAAGTCTTCTACCCGCCCCAACCATCATCTTATTTGGCCTGCATGTCAACCCTGTAAATCAGAAAAATAACAAAGAGATGCTTAGGCCATAACAGGTAAGAAAACAGCCGGAGAGAGGTGAAGCCACAAGCCCACATGGAAAGATCTTGGAATACATCTCCTGGATTGCTCTGCGCTGGTTGGAAAAGGCAAGTCCTCTGGAGGAGGATGAAAGGCAAGGGCAAGCCTTCCTTTGCTCATTCCGGTCGCCTCTGCTGACCTAACAGGTGTGAACTATTTCGCTACCAGGTAAAGGTTGCATTGGAATTCCTCGTGTAGAGGGTTTCTCATTCACCAGCCCTCTGAGGTTCTCCACCTGAAAAAGAGGAACTAGGAGTGGGTGGGATTCAGAAGCCATGTGACCAGACACACTTGAGCAAACGCTGTGAGAAAAAAGGAAGACCACAAATAGCTCAGGGCATTAGAAAGTTCCTCCAAAACCAGTCAGGAGTCACAGTCTGATCAGAAGGGCAGATAACAGGGTCGTGGGGACTGAGACATTCTGGGGTTTCATTTCTCTCTGCATGCTGCCTTGGACTGGTGTGAATGGGCCCCTTCTTACCTGAGCTTGCTTGAAAAGCAAACACGGAAACATTTATTAAACTCCCTCCTCTCCTGTTTCTCAAAGCAGCCCAGGAAATGAGACTGACTACAAGAGGCCTCCAGCAAACATAAAGATAGACAGGAAGGGGTTCAAAGTGGGGGATGGGGAAATAACACACTTTTTTCCTTTCTTTAAAAAGAAAAGAAAAGAAAAAAAGTCTTTTTTTTTTTTCTTCAAAAAAAAATCTCATCACTAGGTTTGTTCCATGCCGTACCTTAGAAGTAAACCCACCTACTTGGGAATATGTCTTATGTATATTTCATTCCACTCTTGGCAGAAATAATTTTAAGTTCTCAGGAATGAGCAAGGCAGGGAATGGTAAGGGGAGGGCTGGGTGCCTCCCGCTGTGAGGAATGACACGCAGATTGGGGTACACAGGAGGGCTGACATTATACAGTCGGCACATCAGCATTTCTGCGGCAGGCAGAAAGCTATTCCTAAGGGAAGCATGTTCTAAACTAGCAGAAAATAAATGCTGCTTTGAAATTAAGCATCACAGCCTATGCCTTTCCCCGCCAAACATTCTCTCTGGGGTTATTTTTCAGGGTGATGTGTATGGGCACACACAGGCTACTGCATAAAAGGGATTGATCTCCAAAGGTGCTGGCTGGGTCCTCATTTTCATAAATAAATAAACCCTCCCTGGTCATTGGAATGTGATTATATTTGGAACAAAACTCCTAAATATAGAGCTATTGTTCGAAGTCAGAAGAGACACAGGAGTCTTCTAATCTCACGTTGTCAGTTGGGGAAAGGCAAGCTTCTACGTTGGCATGGGGTTGGATGTGGTTTCTCTGGAAACATCATGGGCTCCTTTGGCTGTTTGGGGGAAGTGGGGTCAAATGACTTTCTTTTCATTAGACAAACAAGTCTTCTCACACACAACACACACACACACACACACACACACACACACACACACCTTTTACTTGGTAACTATAATTGTTCTTGGATAAGACCAAGTGCTGTCTGTGCTCAGAGGATAAAAGTGTAAGCCCATATCATATTGTGGATGAAAAGATGGTTTCCGTCCTTGTGTCTTCACCCTTAACCCAACTATGAGGCTAGCAAGAAACCTGGCACTAGAGAAATCGCCATGAATTCACAAGGATGACCCTAGCTAAGACCCTAGTCAATAGTGCAGAGGGTGCCAGAACTGGCCTTGCCCTGTCGTCAGATTGTTGACTATTTTAAACGTCACCATAGAACCTACATCCAGCAACTGATGGAAGCAGAGGCAGAGACCCACAGAGAAGCACTAGGCTGCGCTCTCAAAGTCCAGTTGAAGAGTGGGAGAAGTGAAAATATGAGCAAAGAGGTCAAGACCATGATGAAGATACCCACTGAAACAGCTTACCTGAGCTAATGGAGCTCACAAACTCCAGCCAGACAGGGAAGGTTCCAGTATAGGTCCAAACTAGTTCCTCTGAATGTGGGTGACAGTTCTATGAATGGAACACACTCTGAGGTCACTGACAGTAGGACCAGACTTTATCCCTACTGCTTGTACTGGCTTTTTGGAACCCATTCTCTTTGGATGCCCAGCCTAGATATAATAGAGATGGCCTTGTCTTTCCTCAAAGCAATGTGCCTTACTCTCTCTGAGAAGTGGATGGGGGTGGGGAGGGGGAGGAGGAGGGAATAGGAGGAGGGGAGGGAATGGGAATTGGGATTGGTATGTAAAGTAAAATGAGAAAAAAAAGATAGTTTGTTGTTGCTACCTGCTTCATCAATAGGCAATGGTTTGTCAAACCATAGACTAGATGTTCAGGAAAAGTACACATGTGTAATAAACATGTGCTATTTTCTCCCTCTCTTTCCTTCCTTCCCCCCCTCCCTCTTTCCCTCCATTTATCCCTCCCTCCCTTTTCCCCTACCTCTCCTTTCTTCTACCGAGGATAGCATCCAGAGCCCTGCTTAAGCTGGTGAAGCACTGTATACAGCACTGTGCTATATAGTCCAGCCATTGTAGTGTTGTTCTCTTTTAGGAAAGAATCAATCTAATGAAAAACAAAGCTTCTGATAATTTAAAATTGGTTTCTTAGGTTCAGAAAAGGCATCCACTGATTTTTTTTTTTTATGAGTTTCTTCAATGTCTAACTTCATACCTGGAGAACAAGGATAAAATCTGGGGTATCTGTCAGAACAAGACTAGTAGTGTACCTATTAATTTATCTATCCATCCATCCACCTATCTATCCATCCATCCATCTACCCATCCATCTATCCATCCATCCATCCATCCATCCATCCATCCATCCATCCATCCATCCATCTTTCCATCCATCCACCCATCTACTCAATAAGCAAGTAATGAGTTTCTATCATTGTAAGACAAGTTGGCAGAATTCTGCAGAATCCCTTGGTGACTCAGTGATGGCTGCTTCCTCCAAGTTGCCTACTTATCTTTAGGCGGGGAAGACAACAGGTACATTAACATCTAGGATCTGATCTGGATAGAGAACGGTGATGCCAGAGAAAGGCTGGTGGGGATGTGGGGGTGGTCGGAGCAAGATGGCTTCCACCTGGAAGCCATCAGAGCAGCTGACGAGATGACATCCAGCTTCCTGTTAACCCTTCAAAGTGACATACGAGTCCACGCCTGGATTGCAAACAGACGCGGAGAAGACAATACTCTTTTGTATATGTCACCAGCTCTTAGGTCCCATCGGGGCAAGTTTTATAAATAGTTGGTGACTTCAAAAGTCTTAGAAAGGGATTCTCTTTCCCACCCAAGGTGGGGGGAAAAACCCTACCTAAACAGAAGTTTTTCTATTTCCTATAAGTTTCTATGTTTATCAACCCTTAATTTGTGTACCAAAAGGAGTTGGTAATATAAAATGAATACAGCAATACTTCTTGAATACTTCCACAATTCTTTAAAAGAAAAAAAAAGCAGTGCTGGCTGTATCTGTTTTGAAGATAAGATGAGGGCAAAATTATCAAATAACTTGGCCAGGACCACAGAAATAAAGAAAAGCAAGCTTGTCACATACACCTTCAGATTTTCATCTTTCCCTTCTCCTCCTCTTCCCTCTCCTCTCTTCCCCTCCAGCTCTCCTGTTCTATCTTCTCCTCCCTTCCTCTCCCTCACCCCTCTCCAGTATCCTCTCCTTTTCTTTTTCTCTCTTATCTCTCTGTTTCTCAGTTTACGTCTCTCTCTTTCTGTCTCCCTCTATCCAGCCCCCCGCCCCGCCACGTCTCCCAACAGTCTGTCTCTGCCACACATCTCTCTGGCTCCAGTCTATACCTCAGTTTGACTCCTCAGCTTCCACTCTTTCTTTCTGCTTTCTGCTCGATCTTTCCCCGTAGCTTCTGGAAGTCTTCCCTTTCTTCTGAACTCTGACAGCTCCATGCCAGGTTCACCACCACTGTTCTCTGCCTCAGAAACATGCCACCTGCTCACAGGGCTCTCGCAGTGTCTGACCCAAGCAGCCTTCCAGCCCTTTCTTGACCCTTTCAAGTGTGTCAACCAGATAAAAGTAAGCAACTGTTCAGCATACCTTAAGATATATTCACTAATTATCTACCTGGGCATTTTTCTGGATCCAGAAAAAGGAAAGTTAGAAATTCAAAGATACGGTAGTTTATTAATCATTTTATTTATGTCATTGTGCCTGCAGAATAAATACCAGGTCTCATTTGAATTGGTCATAAAGAGTCTGGCAAAGACACTTTCCAGACTCAGGAAGAAATAAAGATTGGTTTTCTGAGATCACTGACTGGTCACTCCAAAAGCTTTGGGGGAGAATCCAGCATCTCTAGCCCTTGATCATCAACTGAGCAAACAGCAAGAGAGAAAGAAGAGTGTGAGCAACAGGCCTTTGCAGTGTGACTTCAGAAAGACTCAGCACTGAACAAGATGGGGAAGAAGACTGTCAGTATAGCACCTGAGCCTGGGATGTTAATATTCTTTAATAATCCTCCTGTATACACAGCCCGCTCAACAAAACCCATCATTGGTTATGCTAATTAGATGTTTTCCTAAGTGGGAACAATTACTAGAAGGTAGGGTGACCTCTGGTAGGTTCTCAGCAGCAATCACCTCATGATTGATTGCAAATTCCTTCAAATACACGTGTCCTGGGAGAAGATGAGGAGAGCATCTTTTGTTGTTTGCACAATGAGGCTGTTTGTCCTTCTGAGTTCAGAGGAGAGTCCAACTAGGCAACAAAATGACCCAAGAATATTTGGACGTTCGTGTGTGAGGGAACATAGTGGCAATGTGCTTCCCAAGAGGAAAAGAGAAACCACACATATCTTCAGGTCACTAAACCGACTTTTAGTAGCAAGAACATTAGGAGAGAGAGAGAGAGAGAGAGAGAGAGAGAGAGAGAGAGAGAGAGAGTTCAGTGTTACTAACTTTGAACTTTACCTTGCTGGGAAAGGTGCTTCTGGGAGCAGGGTTCATGTGCTGTAGTAGTGAGTCATAATGGTACCCTTGCTGTGACACTGGGGGACCGGGAGTTCTGTACCTTCCTTGGGGTTTCAGTGAATTTGCTTGTGACATTAAGAGGGAAAACAAGAGTAGGGGGAAATACCCTTTCTTTTGTCACACTGTCAGGGACGAAAAGCACTTTGGTGGTCATGACCTATGACAAACACATGCATGCAAATCCTTTGCTTGCTCCCATGCTCCATTTCTTTACCATCTATGTAGCTAGGCAAAACGGGACGAGAAATAGT